ATATCATTTACTTTTTTTCAGAAATACAACAGCAACAAAAAATGTTCCCATTCATTGTCATGTCTGGATTTTTTTTTCTATGCAGCATTTGAAAGTTGTGTTTATTATCTTTATAAGATAAAGATATGTACAATTGTTCCTTTCCATCCGTCATTATCTAGTCTAAAACTAGTATTGAGTGATTAGAAATAATGTTGATGGTGTTATTCATGAAAGTGTGTGTGTGTGTGTGTGTTTGTGTGTAGGTGTGTGTGTGTGTGTTTTGCATCGAACAACAATAAAGAGATGAGCCGCTTATTTTAAAATACAGCAATAGATGTTTTATTTTAAAATGAGGACCTCACACTGAAACTAACATTTCCATCTCATCACAGCTGCTTAGGCCGAGTGACAAGACTGGTGTTTTATTTTGCCAGATGTTGTTTCTCATCATAGTATGTATTTTGCTGTTTCATTAATGTGTTTTCATGTTTTTGACACAGAATGAAAGGAGGATTTCAGATGAAGAGCAGCCTTTAAGCTTGGAAGGTGCCACTTGGACTCAGCCAGATGTAGTTGATCTTACACTGTCAATTTACATGTTTGTTGTCAAACCATTCAATCCCACTTGTCAAGTTTTTTTATTTTTATTTTTTTTCACGATTAACATTTTTGAATCTGATTCCACCAACATTTTGAAGTGACAAAATGCATTATGTACTCTGGTCATTATTGTTCCATTGTCACCAAAAATTTAGGTTGTCCCTTTCACACACCTCCGTTCCAAGTGAAAATCCATTTAACTGATTGTGCTATAAAACAGACGGGATAATAGTGCTCACCCCTCCTTCTGCATCACATGATCGTCTAAATCTATTCCCAGAGAAACCAATCCAATCCAAGCCAGATGCACATCTGATTAAAAAAGGGGGGAGGTAGAACATATACGCTTCATTTATGACTCATCCAAGCTCGATAAAAAACACGAGTGTCCAGTATGTGACAGTGGGTGGTTCATGCTGGGTTAGCAGCCCTTTTTCCACCAAGAGATGATTCTACTGGCTCTTCGTTCAATATTCGATGGTAGACAATAATTTGGGTCGGCAAAGTATCAAGTGGTTAGTACTTTATATCTGTGTCACGTTTGTGAGATTTGAGGTTTGAATCTTTGCTCGTACCTGCCTGTGGTGAGGTTGCATTGTTTTCTCCGTACTTGCATGGATTTTCCCTGGCTATCCGGCCAGCTCCCACTCTCTAAAAACATGCATCTCAGGTTCACCGAAGAACATTATGTTTGAATGTGAACTTGAGTATCCTGAGTATAAGTCGCACCAGCCATAAAATGCATAATAAAGAAATTAAAACATATATAAGTCACACTTTTTGAGGGAAATTTATTTGATAAAATCCAACACCAAGAAGTTTGAGATGAAAGATGTCATTTTGAAAGACAATTCAAAATTAAAGTAAAACAGAGAACAACAGGCTGAATAAATGTACAATATGCTAACATTAGATGATGCATCAACAACGAACTGAGAACGTGCCTGGTATGTTCACATAACATATTAGGAATTATTCAGATTACTATAGCATAAAGAACACGCTAAAAGTTGATTAAAACATTTGTGTCACTCCAAATCACTAAATCCAATGAAATCTTCATTCTTTGTGTCACTTTTAAACAACTCCGCCAACTCCAAAGGTAGAAAATGTGGCGCTTCCTCTTCTACGTCGCTTATGTCAGAGTCATTGTCAGTTGCAATTCCAATTACCGTATTTTCACGACTATAAGGCGCCATTAAACTTTCTTAAATTTTCTCCAAAATGGACAGGACGCCTTATAATGCGGAGCGTCTAGTGTATGCGCCGAGTTCCAAAGCCTGACTGCGAGCACTTCTGGCCTACACGCTGTTTATATAGACAAAAGGCGGGCGTGAGTGACGACAGGCATGCGGAAGTCCGCCAATGAGTGAAGAGTGGGCGTGTAAGAGGACGCTAAAGGCACGCCCCTAGCAGGTACCAGTCGCCAATGAGTGAAGGGTAGGCGTGTAAGAGGACGCTAGAGGCACGTTGTAAAATGGCTAAATAAAGTACAATCGAACTCAGTTTTGCTTCCGTTGCCTTTTTAAAAACGTGTTTTTAGCCTGTGTCCGTATGTCTTAGCTGCTACCGTATGCTTTAAGCTAACATACCTGGTATGTTTTAGCGTGCATGCATGCTACCACATGCTTCAAGCTAATGTGTTTTTAGCGTGCGTGCATGCATGCCGTATGTTTAAGCTGCCGTATGTTTTACCATGCCTGGCTGCGCCCAATAATACAGTGTGTTTTGTGTATGTGTCAAATACAGAAATAGCACCCGTTACTGAGACTGCGCCCAACAATACGGTGCACCGAATGGTCGTGAAAATACGGTATTTCAGCCTTTCTGAATCATGACAGGATGGTCGAAACTTTCTTTCTGCTGATCGATTTCCATTTTCGGCTGCATATTTCACTACTTGCAGCTTGTAATCTGCAAAATATAATTTTTCTTTTCCGAGCCATTTTTATTCAACCCTTCTCAGTCATTTTTATTCAGTACCGGTAGTATTATTTGAAGTTACCACCAATGTTGAAATCATCAACACAGACCTAAAGCACCCTGTTGCGGTTTAATGTGAAAACAACATGTGAAATAAGTCCTAACTATGAAAAAAACTTCCACTTATAGTCCGGAAAATACGGTAGTTGTTTGTCTCTATGTGCTCTGTGACTGACTGCCAACCAATCCACCACGTATCCCGTAAAGTCAGCTCAGACAGGCTCCAAGTGCTTTTGGAAATGGATGGATGGATATAATTGATGGCTATAATTAGCATTTATGGTACACATTTAAATGTAACTTCTTGGGAGAAGAAAAAAAAAACCTTTGTCTGCATGCTGCGATTGGCTGGCAACCAGTTCAAGGTGTGCCCCCCTGCTGCCCGAAGACAGCTGGGATAGGCTCCAGCCATGCCCGCCACCCTCGTGAGGAGAAGTGGATTGGAAAATGGATGGATGGATTTAGCTGAATTCAATGTGAACCCTGAGACTCAAACAAAAAGGCCAATGTTCACTATTATTTACCAGATAATCATAGACACTGACAACCACACAGTTCCTGTACTTTGTAAAACACACCACCACGGAATTAGGGGACACAATTTCTCAGCTCTGGTGGTATTACCAGAGCCGCATCAGAGGTGTGAAAGGGAATAGCGTAGCCCTGTGACAGGGGTGTGAAATCGAACATCCAGGATCACTTCATTTCCTACTCTGTTGTATTGAAATCAATTGTCACTGCCCCAGTTGGTCACACATCTATTTATTGAATGTGCATTCCATTTCACTGTGTAAAAAGCACACATAACCACAAGAAAGTCTAAGAATTGCCGGATGCACTTATATGGCTCAAAGAATGCTATTCCAATTATCAGAAAATTAAAACCACCAAGGTGTGCCTGGGTCCACTATCCCGAAGGCAGGGACCATCTTGCGTATATCCATCCATTTAGTGAATAAGAAAGGAAAAAATAGAAAGCATTATCTAGTAAAATGTATAAAAAAAAATAAAAAAAAGTAAAGCAGTGATCGCGTATCATGCTCTACCAATCAGAAAAACAAGACAAATAGGTGACTTTGAAAACAACAAAAATAAAACGAAAGCCCAGGATCCTCATTTGTCTGTCTCGTTTGTCAAGGTTATGTAAAATCTGGACATGGCTCATTCAGTTCCTGACAGATAAGAGGGAAAGGACACTGAAAGGACACAATATGATATTGTCCCGCTTGCCGCGAACATGGCTCCCTCGCGCCAAGAAAGTCACCTTGTCTTACTGTGGAGATAAACATGTTCGCTTTTGTCCTTTAAAGGCCAAGTGTGAAGTAAAATTGGCCAACCATGTTTTTGAGTAATATCAATGGCTGAACAATTATAAGCATATTTCTGTTATTTTTTTTAACGCAACCCTTCCAGATTCTTTGTTTAACCCATAGCAAAGCCCTTGACAACGAAAATGCTTTTCTTCGGCAATCTTCGGCAATCTTCGGAAATGACGTCACATGGAGAACCTCGAGGGAAGTCTTTCCATTGAACAGCATTGTTGCATTGCTTGTTGGTAAGATGCCACGCGGTGTGTGGCGATGTATTGTTCGCAATCGACAGAAAAGTTGTACCAGTGGCCGAAGGATAGCAGGGCACGTAAATGGACATCTTTTATTCGCACGAAGCGAATGAATTTCACACCATCGACGGGTGTTCTCTACTATCTCCACTTCAAAGATGCCTGCTTTCTCAACCGGTCTGCTTATGATCAAGGATTTGCAAAAAAGTAAGTGTGATTTTTGGATAGATGATGACGATTTTGTCAAAGCATAGCTGCCAACTCTTGTGGAATGAACAGTAGAAGGTAGCGACGTTAGCCGAAAGCTAACTCGAGAAGCTAGCGACGTTGAACAGGAGAAGCCAGCGATAGCGACGTTAGTTTTCGGCTCGAGGCAAACCCCGATCGATGCTATTCATATCAGCGATGAGTAATAATGGCAGTCAGACAAACTGTTCTGGAAGTATATTTCAATAGGTTGGCAGCGCTGCTTTGTTGACGAATAAACATGACACGTCCTCTTGGAAAACTGTGCGACTAGCCCATAGGCAGTGAACTGCTTTGTAGATTATATGCGGCATAATTACATGCCAATTATTTTAGTCTCTTGACGTGTATTAAACTTATCTTTTAGAGTAACGAGACTGGGGGAAGCTATGGAATGGAACTGGAGCGCCTGAAAAATGGCCATCGGGAGTCGAAAGGCTTCAATGTAAAAGTTGTCATCACTGACATTGACAGGCATCGCCAGGTGCTGAAATGGATCAGAGAGAATTGGACCCAAGTCATCTTTTGATGATGATTGTTGACACATTGTTAAAAGTTAGTGTATTTCAATGTTTATAAATACGCTAATTTAGGGATTATGTCTTATACATCATGCACGTCACTTCATGAGTTTTCATATCATATTGACCCATATGTCGTCCAAATATTTATCATCCCAACATGTTTTTTTTTTAGACTATGTGAATGACTGCCTGTCAGAGGTGATGAAACTCACTGCCATTCAAAATAAGAAGTGCCATTTGTACTGGTGTGCACTTTCCTCCCAGACACCGGAGGAAAAGAAGCAGAAGTGGCTGGCATGTGTGGACGACCTGCAGAACGTGCATGATAGTTGTTTACATCCTCCAATTACTCGAGAAAAAGTGTGGCTATTACCAGGTATTTTATTTTATTTTTTTAGATGTTGCCTGCTAGTTAAACCCCCAAAAAAATAGAAATATTGTCATACCTTGTAAATTCATTTAAAGGTACTGAAGTCAATGTCGCAGTGGTGGAACTCCTGACAAAGACCATGTTTGTCAACGATGTCATGAAGATGTCTCACCTCGGACAGACCAGTGGCGTGGAAGTTTTTCACAGTGTGGTGAATCACTTTGCCCCAAAGATGTACTACTTCTCGTACAAAGGAATGAAAAGCAGGTGTGTTAAAGAAAACTGATATGCATGAAATGTAGACTATAGTGAAATGTAGAACTTTGAGATATAAAGTTATTTCATCACAATTTGACATTTTTTTTTAAATAAGATAAGGCATTGTTTGTTCTGTTCCAGAATAATTCTTGCTGCTATGCATTATAATGAAAATGCTGGCAGACCACAAAAAATGACAAAGGAAGGAATACACTCCTACTGTATCGTTTATCCCAAATATGAGTGGTGGGTATTCTCTGAGAAAGATACTGGTGGATGCAACTTATTGTAAGTTATGAAATAAAAAGTAATTCCAGGCAGATGCATTACATACTGAGTATAACCCATATGTCGTCCAAATATTTATCATCCCAATGTTTTTGTTTTTTTTGTGAATGACTGCCTGTCAGAGGTGATGAAACTGACTGCCATTCAAAATAAGTACAGAACTGGTGATGTGTGTGTCGACCCGCAATTTCTGACAGCAGCACTGAACAGACCAGACCGGACAAGTCAACCGTTATTGCCAAGCACCAGACTAGATTCCTCAGGAAATAAAAAAAATTACATTCCCTGTATTCAGTTGTCCTCATTTGTTTATTTTTGTTACAGTATTTTGTTATGATAGACACCATGCCCACATTAACCACTCTAAAACCAGTCCAAATCACAGTTCTTTAACATTTCTCTGTGAAACACAAAACCCTTTGAATACAGCTGACTCCTCTTCTCCTGGTGGTGGAAAATGTGCCCTGATACAAGGCACGGCGCATGCTGGGAGCACAACACGGTTGTCCTGACCAAGAAACTTCCAGCATCAGCGCATCCTGTGGCCCATCAAAGCCTTGCCTTTGTACTGCTGCTTGTAGGTCATCCATGCCACCTGTAATCCATGTGGGTCTAGGCACACAGCATTGAGTCCAGGATTGTCGGTGATGCAGTCCAGCACCTGATTGAAGTGTTCCTCTCCTTGTCGACGTACAGTCACTACTTCTTGAATTTCACGGCAGCAAACACATTCAACTGCTGTAGGCATTTGCTGGCATTTACCACAAGTATACCTGACATAAAAAAAAAAAAAAAAGTAAAATAATGAGCGATGACACCATGAGCATTAATTTTATTGAACAAGGATATTGCTCACAGTTGTCACTGGGTGGTACCACCGCACGACGGTTCACTTACATTACGCAATGTCCTGCCATACTTATTTGTCCATACTTATTTGTCATGTCCTTGTTTATGATGATACTAATGCAGCGTGTTATACCAGAGATAAATTCCTTGTGTCTTCTACATAATTGGCCAATAAAGACGATACTGATTCTGATTCTATACCCATCAATCAATAATTCTGTTGTTTATGAAAACATTTGATTCAAAATATTGGCTAATATAAGTATATGGATGGAATACCGTACAAAAGTTAAAAGTCATTACAAAAATTTCTCAAGCACAAGTCAAAAAATGATTTGCTAAGAATACTCAAGTACCGAGTAGGCTAACTGCTTGAACATGAAGTCTGATTATTTTTTTTAAACAATGTCATCAGATAGACAAAAACATTTCGAATTATGTGCACATGCCTGCATCTTCAAATCATAAAAATAATACCAGCCTATATCTTACCAATCTTGTGATCTCCATGGGTCTTGTCTCCATTCCATGTCAGGTCGTCTGGGCACATTGTTTGCATCCTGATTAGCGTCTGGCTCATATATGTAAGGTCCAACATGTAAAATTCCAACCTCCTCTAGTTCCTCCAACTCTTCAAAAACTTGGATATCCTCACTTGCGCTCGATCGATCGCTTGTATCGCTGTTTGCATCATCGTTTGAAATGCTTTGCATGTCTGCCATATGGAGCTCTGCCATCGCAGTTCTCCATGTGACGTACCACTTCCGGGTTCCGCCCCTTTCGGGCTGGAACTTCGGAAAATCGATTATTTTGTCAAATATACAACATATAAATTATTTTTTCATGCTTTATTTGGTGGACAATGTTTAAGTACTTTCATTGTGACCCTATTTGGCATTTCATGAAATTACTTCACACTTGGCCTTCAAAAAGAGAATTGGGTGCATTTGAGTTCTCCAATAATAAACCATACAGTTACAACCTTATTTGAAAGTGTGTTTTCCATACAAATGTACAGAATAATGACTGAATCAATGAAAATGTGCAGTTTGTGGTGCTGAGCTACAAACTTTTTTATTTGCCTCATTGAATGCAACAAGTGGAAACTTTTATTTGAAGGTAAGCTGTCTAAATGCGTTATATGTGCTAAAAGAGATGGGCCGCTTGAGTCATTTGACTTGACTCGAGTTGCTATTTTTAGGACTTGTGACTTCCTTGCCAAAACCTTGGCAATGACTTGACCTGGGACGTGGTATCGAAGCTACTCGACTTAGACTTCAACTGCATGACTTGACAAGTCATCTTGTTCATAGTTTAAAATCTGCATTTTAACACACCTTGATTGATGCCTTTATGGAAGGAAGGAAAGCAAAAAAGAAACCCAGTCAGCTTCATTCGTTGGTGTGAAGTGGTGACCAATACGCTAACAGCAGCGATGGAACATTAATTTAAATTAATGTATTATCAGTGACATTGACAAAAAATAGCATAGCAAAAGGCAGTTTGGGACCAATAAAAATATGTGATTGTGACCATTTAAGTACATCTAAGTAACAGAACTAGAGGTGGGATGGTTTGTGAAAACTCGCCAAACCGTTCGTTTCGACTGTTCACAGATTCATGCAACATGTTTACTCCCACATTCAGCACAGTTCAGTATTTAATAGTGTGCTACTTATGTTAGTATAAAAAACTAACATGTATTATTCAAAATAATTTAAGTGTAGACATTCATTTTTAGCGATGTAATTGTTCGTTTCATTGTTAGAGTATTTGATGTACTTTTTGTCATATGATCAGTGAAAAAAAACATGTTATTGTCACTCCAACATATATTCTGACAAGTCATGATTTGACTTGCTTGAAATTTGGTGGCCAGTCAATGTGACTTGCTGCTGTGTCAACTCTTTGATGTCATTTAGCCGGATTTTTGGCCACACTGTTGGAGGCGTTAGCTCGTCTGGTTCACACAGCTTTATATCAGGCTTAATTTGTAGTCTGTTTCGGCTTGCCCTGACTGACTGTTGTACAAGCCAAATGTTTCCACATCTCACTCCGTGCCACCCACCGCTGAGAGGACCGTGACTGCAGATACACAGACTGCTGCCTGACTCTGTTACAGCACTCTTGAAATACAAGTGGTGCTGAACCGTGTCATTTTTTACAGCAAGGTATTACTTTTCTCAGTGTATTGTGCAACCCTATTTTTAAATGATCACTTCTACAACATTGCAAAGAATTCATAATGTCCCATCACTGGTGAGCAATGATGAGGAGAATAGGTCGGCGGGCGACTGAAAAGACCCTTTGGGGCACGATGGTGTGTGTATGCACCATGACGGTGACCCCCTGATTATGAAATGTTCTGTGGGCTGGTTTAAAGAACCGAGCGGGCCATAGTTTGCCAGGCCCATCCAGCCTCCATGTTATTGTGGAAAAACAGCAAAATGTGCCGTAAAGTTAAGACTTCAACGAACTTTTTCCCGAGCATTAACAACTGCGTCTTAAGCAAACATGTGGCTTATGTGTATAATTCCCTGATCACAGGACCAACAACATAAGCATATGGTTAACTCTTGCTTCAAGCTGTTTATCATAATTAATTGTTCCTTCAAAATACTTGGAACAAAGCGTCACTGCCATGATTATTAGCCTAACATCCATGAGCTTAATTTTAACATTTACAACGGGAAATGCCATGAACAGGTTCATGGAAATTAACATCGCTATCCCAGGCAAAAATTACTTGGATTAACCACGGCAGAACAATACTGACAGCCATATATTCTCCAGTCTCTAGAAGCAATTAGAACTACCAGAGCTTTATCTTGCTGACTGTTCACTTCTTGTCATGGTCAATCAAAACTATCTGAGTCACATTGCTGCCACTGCCACACTAAAGCTGATATAATCGATAAAATATAAACCTCATATACGAAAACATGATTGGTTTTTGTTTCCATCTTCTTTTTCTCTGGATGCCATCCTCAGCTAGTGGCTGAAAAACGAACCTATTCGCACGTTTGTGCTCATTCTGTGATGCGCGAAGACATCAGAAAATTACACCAGTAATGTTTTGATGTTTTTGTATTAAGTACACATTTTATCGCTCTGTGCTCTCCTGCTTTTTTTAAGAACACAATTCTGTATTTTCCTATGCTAAAACACATGCATCCATCCATCCATTTTTTTTAATATTGTACCACTTATCCTCATTTAAGGTGAGAGAATTTGATCACCATGAACTAGTTGCCAATGCCAACCATCACCAGCCAAACGCAGGGCACACATTGACATACCATTCACAACACAGAAAAACAATTTAAAATCACATTCCCAACCTCAAGAGTCTTTCGTCAGTGTTGTACCTGAACGGGTTTAATCGACAAAAGTCTGCAGGTGTTTTATGTATTCATAAAACGATACTGGGGCCCTAGTCAGTGTGTGTGTGTGTGTGTGTGTGTGTGTGTGTGTGTGCTTTTATGTGTGCGTGCATGTGCGCCTGTGTGTAAGCTCGGTTCCTACCTCACGTTGTCTTTATGCATGCACATTAAAGTCAACAGTCCTGTTTTTGTTTGAATTGCTCATTTATAAAAAAGAGCATTCAAGCTCATCCTCATGTAGATTATATGGTGAAAATAGCAGGTGTCTACTACTGTGGACTGATCATGTAATAATGCATTGCTAAAATGAATAAATAGATACATAAATAAGAACTACTGTAAATAAAGAAATCAATAAGAACTACTGCAGTTCATTTTTGGAACATTAAAATAAGTTCAAAGTTTTTTCCTAGAGTAGCACACCGTTTTCACTAACTGTTTCCACGGGCTGAAAAGCCGCTTGCGTGCATGTATAAACGTAAGCTTGTGTTAACATTCCAAAGGTCAGCGCCGCAATCCCATGAAGTGGAGGGGGCTAGATTTAATGAAGGTGGACTAATTAACTGCTGAGTCAGCTTTTCTAATTTTGGGACTCGACTGGGGTAGCATTTGCGTAATCAAAATTCCATGCACAACACGAAAGAAGAACAATAAAAAAAAAAATAGATTATAATATTAACACTACCTAATAAATTAAACACTGAGACGAACAAGCTCTGTTTTACATTATATTAAAACATGCACTTTACTTATATCAGTGGCAGTTGAACAGTCACTGAAAGGCCTCAATGTTTTTTTTTTATATATATATAAACAGTCAAACCTCGGTTTTCGAACGTCTCTGTTCTCGACCAAATTTGTTTTCGACCAAAGATTTTGATTTTTTTTTTATGCCTCGGATTACGACCGAAAATCGGTTCTCAACTATTTGAATGCGCCACTCGACTCCTCTCGCCTTCCTTACACGAGGAAGTGACGCTTCCTCGTGTATCGTTCCATTGTGAGCAGACGTGTTCAATAAAGATTTTTTTTTAAAAAAAAGCGTCCAATGTGAGCGG